TTTACAATATTTGCCTCATTAGCATAAGCAATTCAGTTTCTGATGGAGCTAAAAATAAATCAGTTCTGAATATCGAAAGGTCAAAGTACGATTAACTTGGCCAATGAATACAAGCCTGATGCATTGAATACTTTTTGTGCAACATGGGTTTAAAAACTCAAAATTTTACATAGAATGTATGAGCTCATTAGCGCTTTTGCCACCCAGAAAATTTGCAGTTTTTGATGGACTATTTCTCCTTGAATATTACACCCAGAGCTAAAAATTTCACCATGTACTAAGGTTTTCAAGCTCTTTAGCTGCCTGAAGTCAATTTGTATCTAACATGCTTCCTTCTTTATGCAAAGCTGTATGCAAATGTGCAAAAATGTAAACAATGATGTCAGCATGAATCTGCCTATAGCGATATATCACTATGTATATAAATCAATGAGAAATAAACGTTGAATTACCTTACCTGTGGTGTATAGTCGTCCTTTTGCCTCAAAAATGATTTTTGAGTGCTTTTGAATAAGTTTGATTTTGTCATTGACTGTCACTTATACAGTGTTTCTCTCTCTGGTAACAAAACATCTTAATATATATTCATATATATGTATTCATATATATGAATATATATAGTTCATATATATGTATTTCATATGTTTGTTGTTTGATTTATCATCTACGGGTTTATGTCGAATTAATTTGATGGCCTGCTCCCAGTTGGCTTGTTAGCTCAATTGGTAGAGCGCTGCACTAGTATCGCAGAGGTCAGTGGTTCTAATCCCGTACGGGCCTGAATTCTTTTCAGGTCTGATTTTCACCATTGCTTAAATAGTGCTTTACTGCGAAGGATCGTGCACATATACAAAACATCTTAACTATGTTGCATTTTGCAAAATAGTTGTTAAAGTGTCATTACCAGTACCAACATTATGTTTGAAAAGGTGTTGTTTGCATTGTGCTTTCAAGTCTTGCTAGTAGTTCAGCTGTTAATGGACCTAGCTAACATCAAAACTTGGCTAGTAAAGAAAAAAAACATCTAAGTTGTCACCAGCCACCTGGCTAGTGAGTTGAAAAGTTAGTGTCAAGCCCTGTTACTGTCAGGGGAAGTTAGCTGCTGGTCACTCTTTGGAGTTAAATGGTGAAACCACTTAGTGTCTTCTTTAATATTCATGTCCGGCTTCGGGTTTTTTTTTTTTTTTTTTCAGTATTTAAGATTGAGAGAAGGATTAACACAAGACAACCAAGATTAGGGAACTCAGATCTAATGGAGTGGAAGATTCTACAGGCTGTCCATTTGAACCTTATTGTCAAGTCTACTTTAGGTGTTGTTTTCTCTCCTTACAAGTCTTGTGTTAACATAAATGAAATCCACTTCTTTACACATTTTTCAGTTATTCACCAAGTCCCCACTGGTGCAAAAGGAACACTCAACTAAACAATACGTCTCTTCTCACATGATCAATTAGGCCTTGTCTTTTTTTCAAAGGCATGATGTGCAGGGTAAGAAGAGCTCAGTACAAGGCAGAACTCTGCAAGTGGGATGCACTCCTAGAGTTCAGAACAGCATGCTCACATCAATTTTTTTCTTCTTGCCTTTTTTTTTTTGTTTTGACTTGGGCAACATATTTTGCCAAGAGGAGAGAGTTCTCATAGTCATGCACAGAAATAAATGAATTAGACTTAAATTGAGGACATTTGTTGATTTTTTTTTTATCCCTTCAATAGCCAAGAAAACTCACATTTAAGTATACATATTTATAAGTTGATGCTTTATTGTTCACAAACAAGGCAAAATTTCTATATAAAAAAAAGGTCATCCTGAACACCTAATATGCTCACTGGTGGCTACATGTAATCCTATGGAATATTTTGGAGTTTTAAGAGATATACAAGTTTGCAATATATTTTTAAACTCAGCCAAACACCCTTAACATGCATCAAACTTCAAGCTTGCCTCCTACAGACACGGTTTAGCCTTTCACAATTGTTATTACACAGAGCTCCATGACAATGTGTGTGTTAGAAGGCAACTTCCAGGCTTCCCTTTCATAAATTTGGAGTTTAATATGCTGCGAGGTTTAAGCTGAGAATTGCACTCTTAAATCAACAGTAAAAAGAGATAAAAAACTACATGGCTTCAAACAAGGAGCAAGGAGTCTTCCTGTTTAATGGAACCTACATTAAAAGAACAAATAAATAAAAAATAGAAAGGAAAAAAGTTAGCCCTCTTGCTTGTTAGACTACCCCAGAAGGGCTTTTCACTGTCTCCACAGAACTTGGGCAGTAGTAGAGCTACCCCCACCCCCCCAGTACAGATGCCAGTTCAACATTGGTTTACCCCCTCCTCCTATCTCATGAACTTTCCTTTTCAGATTGCCAGTATTCAAATACATTCCCCGAAGGAGACAGCCAAGGTGAGAATGAAGCACTTCACCAGAAAACACAACACAAGACTTGGCCAGGGATTCAATGTAAGGGGGGGGGGGAATTTAGGGGGGTGCCCCAACCTTCTTCCCCTTTCAGACCTGTGGGTATTTATACCACTGGTACTTGAGTAAAACAACATTTCTCCAAAGATAGAATTGCATAGTGTCTTGATACTCGATTCGATTGATCCTTAAATATTTCTCAATAACATGCCTTCGTCAATTTAAAGTTGAAACATCCCCCCCCCTTTCCTTGCAATCTGAATTTTACAACTTGTTTGTTCAAATTTCAGCCCCCCTTGGACCAAGATAATGTTTAAATGCCTTACTCAAGTGCCTTATTTGATGTTCATTTTTTCATAAAAGGCAAAATCAGTTACTGCAAGTTTCTACTCATTGACCAAGCTTTAAACTCTAGCCCTTGTAAACCTTTTCTTATAAACTATCAACCTTTAAACTCATCCTTATTTAAAGATAAGACACTTCTATCTGAACGAAAAACTTAACACTTTTCCAAAGGCCAGTCTTATTGACTGGCACATTACTTGGACTTCAGAGTAAAAAAGGGAAAAAGTTGTGTCAAAGTTTGAATTGTCAATAAAGAAATCCTGATTCTGCTAGACAGTAGCCAGTGAGAATGTTACTATCTTTGAAAAGTAAACGAGTAATTCTGATACTTACAAAGCCAAAACAAGAGAAACAATGAGGCCTGCACTAGCTGTGAAGGAAATGGCTCCACTCACTGAAAAAAAGCATTTCTAATCTTAATACACGTGTAACAGCTGATATTAAACTTATACACAAGGACTGGGGGGGTACATGGTATGCCACTGTTTGTGTGTAGCATGTGATTAGTAGCAAATATCACTTATCCTTGAAGTGGACTGGGAGTCATAAAGTTTGAATCTGCATTATGTAGATGGACTTGGAAGACTAAGGAAAACACAGCATGCAAGAATAAGAGTAAAGTTGGAGTGAATTCTGTTCTAATAGGCTTCCTTGGGCTACTTAGAAATAATGAATTTACAGGTTGCAAAGGAATTGCTCACAAAACAGAGAGAGGACAAGGTAAAGTTGACAAGTATTTGTATGCAAGAAACCAACATGACAGTTACCAACTTTGTGACTAGCATGTGACTAATTTTAAATCTGACCACAATGACACAGTTATCAACTTTGTGACTAGCATGTGACTAATTTTAAATCTGACCACAATGACACTCAAGCAAATTTGAACATTGTCTGCCACAGACAACCCATGTAAACAGCAATTTGATAGAGTAACATACTTAACAGCAGAAATTGAAAAATGAGTAGAACTGAGGGTTACTCATGATGTTTTGAAATAATGGTTTGCTGTTCTTAACCCTCATAACCACCCAGAAGTAGTAATCAGGCAACTTCTCGCAATAATATCCACATACATTATCCAGAAAACAGGTAATAATACTCAAACTCTTCAGGTCAAAGTTATCTTGATCAAATACCAAATTCTTTTAAATGATCAATGAGGAAATGAGTGGCAGCTATAAGCGAGAACTGACAATCTGATCTTGAAAGTTTAAGAACCATGATTTATCAAATAAAGACATTTATCTATTAAAACCCACTACATTTTGGTAAGAATCAGATGCAGGTTACTGTTGCATTGAGGTAGGAAACTTCTACTCACTTGTGGTTGGTTTTGTCATAGTTGTTGTCATTGCTGTTTGAAAAAATAAAAAAATAAAAAACAATAAAAGCTTTTTACCACTAAACTTTCATTATGAGTACTTCCTGAAACAAACATAACAGAAGGATTGCTTCTCACTGGCTTTTTTGTTTGAATGTTTGTTTATTTTCTTTTTGGGGAGGGTTTTTTTTTTCCAGAGATCCTCTAACATGACAGAAGAAGCAAGCAAGTGTGATGGCTATTGTTGGTTATCCCAAAACTAGATGCACAAAATCTTGGCATTTGCCTTTATTTAATCAGTGATTGTAATTCTGTATCTGCATTAAATTAATTTGATTATTAGGGATCGAGGAAACAAAGTAAAAGGAACCTTCAGTCTTAAAGCAATCATTAACTACAGGTGGGGGACAATACAAACAGGCTGTAAGCACTCAGTAAAGGTGATTATGATCACCTAAAATAGATGACCACTTAATACTGGGGTGAAAATTACAGTACAGAAGGGGAAAAATGTCTGGACTTTGAATACCAACTGCTTGATATAGGGTAAATGTTTGATGCTGTGCATCTACACCCAGGTTCAACTGTAGTACAAAATGAAACTTACATGAAGCAGTTGCTATAGATAAAAAAAGAAGAAAAGGAAAACAATACAGTAAGTAAACAAATAGAACACAGCTGTCGCTTCACACTTAAGGCACTGAAAACAGATTTAAGCACTGGAAGACAGCAAGACTAACAGTGCTCCCCTGGAGAATTGTGGGAAAAAGTGAGTAGCTAAGACATGCATTCCTTTACTCTGAGCAAGAATTTTTCATTGCAGGGAAGTGTTCAAAGCACAAAAGGGACAACGAGAACAAAACATTTACACATATTTTATGGGAACTTAGCTG